ACATATGGTCATCCAAGGTGAAACGCTTTGAGCATTTTAATCTACTTATCACGGATGTGACATTTAAAAATAATATTCAATGATGAAGGTGGAGAAAATTAAACCTTGTACATTTTACATTACATACTAAAAAATAAGATAAAAAGGTGTTTGAATAAGAAATATGTTTTTGAAACAAAGAAGCCTATGTTTAGTTTAGCTAAAAATCAGTTTTTTAGTAGATTTTACTAAAACTTGATGAAACGTGTGATTGGAAAGTTGATAAAAGTTGCGGATCCCATAAAATGTATGGTTGAAAATGAGTTTGAAGAAAAATGAGTTTTAGAAAATGACGACAAAACATAGGCTTGGCCATAAGCATGTGCCGTTTACAATAGATTTGCGGGCATACTTTTTTCCTGATTATAGATTATTGCTTATCATGTATCAGTTTGATTTACACTATTTTCTTGATTTTTATTTATAATAAAAACAGGGATTGCAGAAGAGGCTTGGAATATTTAGATGAAAGAAGTAAGACGTGATTATATTTGTATTTTCCTTGCCCATATGCGACACATTTACCTAATGTAGAATAAAAGGAAAGTACATATGTACTTTGCCCGTGTGTACTATGTTTTATACCTTAATTTGTTAAACATATTGTACAAGTGTTTGCCTGTTTGGAGTCAATGAATAGCGTCCTTGGGCTAGAGGATACATAACCTTGCCCGACTATATACTCTCTTAATGTATCTTCTTATACAATGAGTGTGAGTTTGTGAGATCTCGTTTCAACCTCCTTTGTATAATGTATTATATAATTTTTGTATCAGAGCTAGACCTGCAACACATGCAAACTCTTTGTAGTAAGCATTCATGAGAAGATATCTTGTAACGGTCACAATAAATTAAGGACTAACATTCTATTATAAAAAAGGTTAAACCCCGCTCCTAGAGCATTATGGAGGAGGTAAATGGCGAGATGTGCCTCAATAGGTTAAGGTACAAGAGCTGTCATACTGGTGCCCACAAAGAGTTCAATTCCAAACATTGTTAGAGGCAGGAATCGAATCCTCACACTACGACTGCCAGCTCAACTGAAACTACCTAACTCCTGTCATTTGCACTGCTGAGCTATGCCCTGGGGGACGACTAACCTTCTATTATATGTTCGCATTGTGATTGTCTATCGCACTCTGAGACTCAACATATGAACATAAAATCTTATTATTAAGTCTATGTTTGTCTTTCATTAAATAAAAATTCTTTTTTTTTTTTTTAAAAAAACTCATTTTCTGTCATATATTTATACAATAAAATATTTTGTACGTAAATTCAAATTTTTCGGAAAATCACTATTTCTAAGCTTATTTTTCTCAAAAACCCCTTTTTAATGAAAGGCAAACAGAGGCTAAAAGTAAATCATGAGAGATAATAGATGAAGTAATGATGAATTTTTTTTTAAGTGTGAAACTATGGTATAATTACTTCCTCGAAGCATGCCTATTTATAGGCAAAAATTTGAATTTTTTTTTTGAAATATTTAAGTTTTTTACTGCCATTGATTAGAAGCATGCATTACTTTTCAACCATGCATGCTGGGCTCCAGGCCGCTCCACTGCTTTTAACTAAGTGAGCCGAGAACGAACGAACGAGCGAGCGAGATAGAGCTAGAGGTGGTGGAGAAAATAAACTTGGTGGCAACGGAAATGGACCACTTTTTTTTTGAACTTGCTATGAGCTTGTTTGAGAGGGATTTTAATCCAATTAAAATTGAAAATATAGTTGTTATTGGGTCTCACTCGTCTAATAAAAGTCAACAATAACGGTTAGTTTTTCAATTTTAATCCGATTTTAATCTCTACTAAACAAACTCTATATATATATAGTGGTGGAGACAATAAACTTGGTGGCAACGGAAATTGACGACTTTTTTTTTGAACTTGCTATATATATATATATATTCAGTCATGCTATATTGTCAGAAAAAATTGACATATTTCTTGACAGATTGGGATATGACATTTTGTCATGGAACTGTTTAAAAGATATTCAATTTTTGCATCCAATTATCCGCTACCGGCATCAAATAGGTGGACAATAATTTCTGGTAAAGTGACTTAATTCATTATGTTTTTATTAGCTTATTCTTTTCATATTTAGAGGGTGTTTGATGTAGATTAAAATAAGATTTTAAGTGGATTATGATAGAAATTTTTGAAATGTGTGGTTGAAAATATGTGGGACTCATGAAAGATGTGATTGCTATTGATTGTTTGATTTTGATTTAGATTAAAATTAGATTAAATCTGGCCCAAACAGGCAATTAGCCTTTGCTTGATACCCATTTTTCTTAAAATACATTTTCTCGCTTTTATTTACAATCACACATTCTTTAATAAAATAATATTACAAGCAAACCAAAAAAATTTCTTTATTTTTTAATAACACATTCTCTTTAATCTACTATTCCAAAATGCATTCTTACTATAAAAATGGGTAGCAAAATCTTTTAAAGAATTTTTTTATTTTTTTCTTCCTTTCATATTAACCTTCCGTCATGTAAGGACTCGATTGCAGAGCATCAAATAAATTGGGATCTGTAATCACTTTTGAATAATATGGAAGGAGTCCAGTCAATATAATAAGGCCGTCCAGAGTTATAATACATTTTGTGTGTGAACGCGTGTTGTCAAGACGACGATTACGCTGGACAAACCGGTGGCCGCCGTGTGTCGCTTCCATCGACAAACCTAATTCAAATCGTTCCAGAATCACATACTATTCGCTCATCTCCCTCATTTTTAATTTCTTCACATCGCGCATTTCGATCAAAGAGGTGAAACGAATACTCCCATTTTCTTCGTCCTTGTGGCAATTGCAATTTTGTTTCAGCTGATGTAATTACACATATAATGACCTTTTAAAATTCCTTGATATTTCAATTGTGGCAGTGAAATACCGGATTACTTGTAATTCAGCTATATATCTGGTGATTTCAACTCAATTTTGACTTTTTTGTATGTTCCATGGATTGAATTTCAGAATTACCAGACTAAATTTTGCATCTCTTCTATTTTTTTTAATTGTGTTTACCTTTCCTGGTTGTAGAGTTGTGAGCTTTTCTACTTCTTGTCTGTATTTATGGAAATTTGCTGCCATGTGAGTTTTGGTTATTGGTAGCCCCGTTGACTTCTTTTTCAATCGTTTCAATTCTATTAGCAAAATGTTGTAGATGATAAAAAAGTTGTTTCTTGCTTTGAGTACAACAAAGAATCGGGAAATCACTGTGCACAGGTTGTATGGATGGTGATCCGTTATAGGGAATGGGAAACTGTCAATTTTCACTTCTAACTCCATTCTGCTTTCTTATATTTGCAATCGCTTGTGCTTATGTTATCTGAATTTCTCCTGCAATTTGCATAAAGTTGGGGGGTTTTGAGGCCTACCTGAGTATGTTATGCAGTGCTAGTTCCAAGACCTTAATAAGATATCTGTATTTGATAGGTGATATCGTGCATCTATTAGAAAAAAAGTATAATTTCCAGCAGACTGGTGAATCAATTATGTTTTGTTACTTGCTTTTTTGAATTAAAACCCATTTTTCTTAATCAATAAAGGTGACTTGTTTTTAAGAAAATTCTGTATTTCTATTTATCAGAATGGCAGCTTCTAGAGACCCGTGGGTGAGGGAGTACAATGAAGCAGTCAAACTTGCTGATGATATCACTAACATGATATCCGAAAGGAGTTCATTGCCCACGACAGGGCCAGATTCACAGCGACACTCTTCTGCAATTCGGAGGAAAATTACCATACTAGGAACTAGACTGGATAGTCTGCAGTCTTTACTCTCAAAACTTCCGACAAAGCAACCCCTGTAAGTTATCCTGATTGAACAGCCTCAAGAGTAAAGTCATACAACTTGTTATACAAGATTGCAACTATTATGTAGCTATTTAATTTATCTTCTCTGATGCACAATGCACTTGCTTAGTCTAGACATGCTTCACTCTGCTTTCTTTCTCTACATTTCGTTCAATCTTTTGTTGTTTTACATTCTTTTCTGTTCATCAAACATGGTTGGATAAAGTTATCTGTTGTATGTTGTATTTGATGCCGCATTAGGAGCTTTAACGCTGACCATGATAATCTGTTGTTGAGACTATGATTCGCTGGACCTATCTTAAGCTTATTGTTATTTACCAATTGCTATTCAACTTATATATCTAGGAGTCAAAATTCTGCTCATCCTTACTTTTGGAGTGCTCTCGTTTTACTTGAGTATGAGTTGACAGGTAACTTGGATTGCATTTACTGCGCTCCTTAAACTGCTGCATCTCATTGTGCAATTTAAAAATAAGTTTCCTTATGCCTAGATACATATGTACCTGCATATATATATGAACATGCTTCAATTTTCATTTTTGAACTGTGTTCCTCACTCTTTTGCTTCATAATTCACATAACTGGGGTCTACAGAGTATTGACATGCTCATCATTCTAAAAATGAATATCTGACTTGCCACCTCGAAGAGCCAAAATCTGCTGGTACACAATTTGTTTTATATCTAATGTCATGATAAATGTGGGCATGTTATTATTTTGTTTCTGCAAGTTGAAAGGGGGATAAAACAATTAAAGAAGAAGAAACAAACTTCTACATCCAATGCCCTCGATCAATTGGCTAGTGACTTTGTGGACCAAGTACTTGGTCCTTTGTTTATGACTATTCCATGGTTCTGTAACGTTACCCCTCGTATGCTTCTTGACCTACTCTTTATCAAATGCAGGACAGAGAAAGAAATGAATCGTCGCAAGGACATGGTTGCAAATTTAAGATCAAAAGTAAACCAGATGGCTTCCACATTGAACATGTCAAACTTTGCAAATAGGGACAGCTTACTGGGGCCAGAAATCAAGCCTTCTGATGCCATGAGTAGAACAAATGGCCTTGACAACCATGGCGTTGTTGGTCTTCAAAGACAAATCATAAAAGGCTAGTGGCTGCTGCTTTCCTCTTAAACTTTATTTTCTTTTTCTTTTCTTTATTTATCCTGTAGCCTTGCTCTTCAACTTTGTTAATGAAAGTTCATCTTTACCCATCTACACTCTTAGCAGAGCAAGATGAGGGCCTTGAGAAATTGGAGGAGACAGTTATGAGCACCAAACATATTGCATTGGCAGTCAACGAAGAGCTTGATCTGCATACTAGACTTATTGTGAGTATCCTTGTTTTGGTTTTTTATTTTAACACATCTGCTTTTGTATCTCCTGAAGGCTGAAGGTAAAGTACATTACAGTTTATTAATTGCAATAAACTATGATGTTGACGTCTTTTTGATGTCGTGTGTGCAGGATAATCTGGACCAACATGTTGATGTTACAGACTCCAGATTGCAGGTGACACTTCTTTCCAAGAACATCTATCATATTATCATAAAGATGTTTGCGAAATAAAAACTACGGAACACATCATTTACTATAGATTTGCAGCCTGCAGGCATCTTTACGTGTATCTTTTTATTTTTGTGGCTGTATAAGATTTTTGTTTGTCACGTGTCAATTTGATTTACGTTCTTTTCTTGGTTTTTATTTGTAATGAAAACAGAGAGTGCAGAAGAGGCTTGCAATATTGAATAAACGCACAAAAGCTGGCTGCTCCTGCTTCTGCCTGCTTTTATCAGTTATCGGGATAGTCATATTGGTTGCTGTTATATATATGCTGGTCAAATACTTGTAAGTTGTAATGCAGAAAGGTGAAATTGGAAGTTCCTTTATCTTTTTGCGGCGTGGAATATGATTTACTATCAATACAAAAAGGGTGAAAATAGGAGCATAATGAACGGCTCTGTATTTTTTCCTTTTTAAAGAAGGTGGATTTCGATATCCTCTTCGGGTTTCTCATATATTGATTCCTCGTATGTGTAATGATGCGATTTGTTTGTAAAAAACATCTCCATTGTAGCAGTATAAGACCTTTATTAAGCTTTTCTTAAACTTTCTTCTTATGCAAGTGAATAGAAAAAAGGGGCAAATGAGAATTTTTACCAGGTTCTGTTTGTTCTGTATTTTGATATTTGGCAATATACTTTAATTTTGGTTCGAACATTACACAGCAAATATGAAAGAAGGAACTCTATCCATCTGGTTATCGTTACATTTGTCAGATGATGTTATAAATGATTTTTATTCATCATCGTCACTCTTGATGAATAAAATTTTTCGAAAGAAATAATGCCTTTGAATAATGCTTGACCGTCGATTTTCCATGGCCAAAAATTTTCTAAATATTTAAAAGCGATAAATCCCAACGACTTCCTTCGAGGTTTATGATAATTTTAGAGACATTTCTTTTAATTTTAAAAATTACATAATTTTCCTAAATATTTTATTTTTCCCTCTTCTCACGCTAAATATAAAATTATATTTATATTATTTATCTTTTTCACAAATTATAACATTCTATTTTTCTTAGAAACTAATAAGATGGATACATTCTTTATTATATTTTGATAGTGCAATGAGAACATCTTTAGGGTGTGTTTGATGAATATTATTGAGAAAATAATATATTTTAAATAGTGATATGATGTGAAATATGTAGTTAAAAAGGAAGGAAAAATTATTGATGTGATGAAAAATATTATTTTATTGAAGAATATGTGATTGAAAATGAGTTTTGAAAGAATATATTTTTAAAAAATGTGTATCAAATAGGGGCTTAAACATAATATAGTACAAGATGATAGAATATTCTGCCCCACGATTACCCCTCGTCCCGGGTCATCACACGAAAAATTATAACAAGAATCCTTTTTATTTAACATTAAGCTCCTGTTTGGTTTGAATTAAAATCTGATTTTAATTTAAGTCAAAATCAAACAATCAATATTAACCACATCTTTTATGGGTCTCACAACTTTTTGACCACACATTTCAAAAATTTCTATTATAATCTACTAAAATTTTAATTTTAATTTTCACCAAATGCCCTCTAGCTTGGAACCCATGCATCTAAAACGTCTTTTACTAAGATCGATATAATTGTATATAAACCCAGAGCAATATCATGATAAACCAAAAAGTCCGAGGATTTCTTGTGATAAATCAACATTTGTTTTGTCAGTCACAACCCAGAGCCATGCTTTTGTCTCCGGGTCTCCCGGCCCAGTGCTCTAAAAGCCCAGCACCTGAATTGGGGAAGGATTCAAGCCGGATCCCTAAAATTAACAAATTCCCAATTCAGATCTATTAATTAATAATCCCTCTTCTTAGAACAAAGAGAGAATCTAAATTCGACCTGTTTGTGTAGGCATATATATGAACTTACATAGATTTGTATTTGAGGTTTTGCAGAGAAGAAAAATTAGAGAATGAGCATAGTTCCGAAAGAAACAATTGAAGTGATAGCACAGAGTATAGGCATCACCAATTTATCACCAGATGTTTTACCTAATATTGCTTCCGATGTCGAGTATCGCGTTCGCGAAATTATGCAGGTTTTTAGCTTAATTTTGCTCAATTTCATATTTTACGAGATAATTTTGAGTCTTATTTCTTAAATTTCGTACAGGAAGCTATCAAATGCATGCGGCATTCGAGGAGAACCACCTTAACTACCGTTGACGTGGACAGTGCACTTAGCTTAAGAAACGTTGAGGTGTTTATTTACTTCAGAGTTCAGACTCAGTTCGACCTTTTTTGCATCGCGCGTCAGCTTTTCTCTCTTCTTTGTAATTAGTGCAGTTTTATATGATAACGAATGGCTTACGTTTTTAGTGTTTTGAATTATGGCTATTTATTAATGTTCAAATATTTACTCTTTATTTTTGTTTTTATTTCTGTAATATTTCCCAGCCAGTTTATGGATTTGCGTCAGGAGATCCGTTGCGGTTCAAAAGAGCTGCTGGACATAAGGATTTGTTCTACATTGAGGATAAAGATGTAGAGTTTAAGGAAGTAAGAGATTCAAGGCTTTTTTTATCTGGGGATTGCCATTAGTAGTTAAAAGTATTCATTTTGCTTGTTATTTTGGATGTACTTAGGTGATTGAAGCTCCTCTACCAAAGGCACCATTAGATACAGAAGTGGTTGCTCATTGGTTAGCTATTGAAGGAGTTCAACCTGCCATTCCAGAAAATCCTCCTCCTGAAGGTACTCGAGTACAATGATCGACCTAAAATATCTATAACACTTGTGAATGTGTATATATGAAAAAATTTATCCTTTTCTACCATCTCTGAACAGTTATTTTTTCTGCCCTTGCTGCTGAATTATACCTACAATGATGGCTTTGTGTTCAATTCATATGGCATTCTGTATGTTATTTACTCCACTGTTGATGTCATAAATGATGTACCTTCTGTTTGTCGCAGTACTCACAGTGCCTTCCGACAACGGAAAGACTGCATACAAAGAGGATGGAATTCCTGTTGACATCAAATTACCTGTAAAGCATGTACTTTCCCGTGAACTTCAGGTACTGCCGAAGCCTTATGTGTAACTCTTTGTGATGCCAATCCAAGGAAAATTTGACACCAATGGGTTTCTGATTTGCGCTCACAGCTTTACTTTGAGAAAATCACAGAGCTTACTGTTAGTAGATCCGATTCTGCCCTCTTTAAAGAAGCTCTGGTGAGCTTGGCTACTGACTCAGGGATCCATCCTTTAGTTCCTTACTTTACATTTTTTGTTGCTGATGAGGTAATTATAAGCCATTTCTTATCCAAACTGTATCAACATTATAAGGCAACGACTCAGGATCTGAAATCATGGCAGGTTTCTCGGAATCTGAATAAATTTTCTCTCCTTTTTGCTTTGATGCGTCTTGTTTGGAGCCTTCTTCAAAATCCTCACATACACATTGAGCCCTATGTAAGTTTATTGTTATTTCTTTCTGTTTGTCCTTTTTTTGTTTGTTTTTTTTTTTTCGGCATCTATTCAGAATTGTCTTTCATTCCAAGGCATAACTTGTATCCACGCACTTCATATTCGCCAAATATGGGCACTTTTCCTCAAATTTCGAAAGCCTTGCATGCAGATTTCGTTTTAGTTATCGTCAATGTATGCCCTTGGGTGCTAATTTGTCTGAACTCTTATTTTATTCAGCAGACACGGTAAATGTTAAAAACTTATTGATGCCATCTTTTGGGCCCAGAATAAATTTGATCCTGCTACTCTGCAGATGTTACGGGCCATATTAAACGCCAACACCATCAATTAATACAGAAAGTGACATATCAGATTGGTTGGTTGATACTTTGGAATTTTTAACTTAAGGATCGTGTGAAAAGTTATGTTGTTATTGCAAATTAAGATGACTGAAAACCAAACATTTTAAATAAAGAGGAGGTAGGAGATGAGCCCAGTGCTGGCATTCCATTTCTGACTCGCAGTTCTAAACTTGTGGAATATGCCCATGGAAAACTGGTTGTGTGCAATTTGATTTTTGTAAGCTTATATGTGCATACAAACTTTGATTCAAAAGAATGGGGTTTCTTACATCTGCGTACTAATTATTGTCAAATAGTTGCACCAATTGATGCCTTCTGTGATGACATGCCTGGTTGCAAAAAGACTAGGAAATAAGTTCTCCGACAATCACTGGGATCTCAGAAACTTCACTGCTAATCTGGTTGCTTCAATATGCAAGAGGTAAGGGTTGTCAATAGTTGCTTACCGTTATGAAATAATTGAATTAAGTACGACTTTTCGATGATGGCGTACCTTTTCTGTATAGGTGTTAGAAGTGAAGGTATTTCCCTGCATCTACATTTTTCTAACATCATAAAATAGATTTCCTGCATCATAAGTACCAAGAATTGGATCATAACAATCATTGCATGTGCAGTGATCACTTTCTCACAATTGTAACTATGCAGATTTGGTCACGTTTACCATAATCTCCAGCCACGTGTCACCAGGACATTGCTGCATGCTTTCTTGGACCCATCAAAAGCACTCCCTCAACATTATGGTGCAATTCAAGGGCTAGCAACACTTGGACCTAATGTGGTATTTCCCGTTTGTATCTTATTCTCTCCTATGTTTCCCTCATCTTCAAAATTGTCACATGCTTTAACAATTAATGTTGTTTCCATTAATTGGCTAGGTTCGCCTACTTGTGCTGCCCAATCTTGAGCCTTATTTGCGGCTTCTGGAGCCAGAAATGCAACTTGAGAAGCAAAAGAATGAGGTGAAGAGGCATGAAGCCTGGCTTGTATATGGGGCATTGATGGTAAGAAATGCTTTATTGGTAACTTCCTCTCAATTTTATTTATAAATTTGATTGTTTTGAGGAACAGGTGCACAAGAAGAAACATTTTCATCATTTGCTATTGCATGAAAATTCTCTCCCTAGGGAACTGTTTAATTTTTCTCACAAGGACGTCTCTAAATATTTGAGAGAAATTTGTGTAAAGTTGCTTATTGCCTTTGCAGATGCTGAATGTTTTGCTTCTCTCATCATTGAAATGTGTACCTCTTTCAACTTGTGAAGTTAACCTAAAATGCTGATGAAGTGTTTGAAGAGAACACTTTCAGATCATTCCGAGTCTCAACAGAAACTTTCGTTGTCAAATCCTTACATGTTATACACCATAACAGGCCAAACACTAACATTAGGAATTGAAGTACTTTCTGAAGCTATCTCGACGTGTTACTGTCTGTTTAAGTTCCGCTAACTTAGAGGTATTAAAAGAGTGATATTGCTACATTTTTTTTTTAATGAAAATACAGTTTATTCCGAGGGAAATTTCTCCACCGTTCCTATCAGGATTTTTTGATCCAAAGCTAGAATTATGGTTGAAAGGTCATTAACTGTATGATTATTGTGTTCATTACTTCATTTAGTTTCTTAATAACTGGAGGAACAAAATATTAGAGGTAATTTGACTGACGAGGCAATGCATTTGTTAGCGTGCAGCTGGCCTGTGCATGTATGATCGACTGAAGACGCTCCCCTCTCTACTAGCTTCACCAGCACGTGCTGTCTTGAAGAGTAATGCAAAAGTCATAACGACAACGTCAAGTACGAATCTGTGCAATCCTTGAATGATTTTTTTAAAATTATGGTTTATTGTTGCATTCATGACATGCATTTGCCGGCCATAATTATCTTTGAGGTTCACCACAACAAATGTTTCTGAAATGGCTGTCGCAGTATGTGAAATCTCCTTGATTTTGTATTTGGTTTTATGCATTGTACCTGCATGTTCTATACAGTTAACAGTTCGGAAACATGTATAAGAAAACATATCAAACTAGTCCTAAATCACTCAGGGCATAAAGGACCGTGTTAGGCTGTTAGCTGACGTTTTACTTATTCAAAAGACGACATCGACCTTTCATTAAAGATGAAACTCATTTCGCTCAAAACCCCCAAAACAATCAATAGGCACTAATCATTAAAAGGAGTAGCTCAAAGTACATGCACAAGGTTAAAATACTAGAAATTCCAAAGATATCCAAAGATATTTTATGATATACCATGAAAACCTTTAAAAAGTTAAAGATGATTTTACAATTTGCAATTTTTATGCATTGTAATTTTGTAGGATGTCAAATTAATTGTATCTTCATTATCTATACACTTACATAAATTCTTTTTATTTAGGTTTAATATGTTGAAAATGTCTTTAGATATTTGATCAAATTGTAATTTTGTCTTTCAGACAATCAAAGAAGTCACCAATGAAAATAATAGAATCCAATACTAGTGGGGTCTTTGGGAGTTTCTCATAAGAGGGGTACTTGGGAGGCGTTGATGGAATTCTTGCTAGTACTTAGAGAAGAGCAGTATTTTGAATTTGTAACATGTGTATGGAAATGAAGTTTCTGTGTTTCAAAGGCTGCATGTGGCTATGGTTCCTTATGCTCATTGATGCCATTCATGTTGTCTAGTTTTAAGTTTCTACCAAACTCCTACCACCCTTTGTTTTAGGGTTGAAGAGCAAAAGCCTATACGTTTGCCATGTTTAACTCTGTACATCTGCTATTGATGAGACACTAGTGTTTTCTTATTTTTTATCTTCAAAACGTCATAGAGAAACGTAAAGCCAGCATGGATAATACGATGCAACAGCCACCACTCAAGAAACTAGCAACGGAGAGTACTATGGGTGCAACACCGGCGAACTCACTGCCAGTCGACATGCCAGGATCGAGCAGTGGATACCCAACAGTTATTGGGACTGCAGACACTAATTTACAATCATCACGGAATGAGAATGTGCCTGAAAGCAGTGGCAGAAAGGAGATGGTCGGTGGTCAAGGGCCAAAAACATCAGCAGCTCTTACTCAAGCCTGGAAGGACGATGTTGATGCCGGGCATTTGCTGCCTCTGCTATATGAATATTTCGGTGAAAGTATGTTGTCCTTTATACCCTCGCCTGCAGCATCTTTCTTCTTGTGATCTTCAGACATTGGCTATATGGAGAAGGATTGTAGCGAGGCACTGAACATGTTATCAATCTCTCTTGCGATGTCTAGGAATGTTCTTCTAATATAGTGTATTCTAGTGAAACAATATTGTCCCCAACTCTGCCTTATTTCTGGATGGACTAGTGATGAGTACAAGTTAACGAGATTACTAATGGACCTTGACGCACAATTTCTCTTTGAATAAATTCTCTGTATGTATAATAGCATAATTTTCATTTTTATCGTACTATCTGACAGTTTTTTGGGGAAAGCACTTAAAAAAATTTTATCAGGTGAGGATGAGCATTCCCTCACTTCTGGTTATTAAAAGCAACCCTGTTGAAGTGATTCAGGAAAAAAATGTGGCATTTTCAAAGAAAAATCGATTCCTCATGGCCTCTACCTGTGCTCATAGAGAACAAAGAATTGATCACATTAGAACGAGATCAGCCAGACACAACGTTACCGAACCACCAGCCATGAAGTCCCCCCGATCCCCTGCCCCTGTCGACGTGTATGGACGGGTTTTCAGTTTTCTTCAACAGTTCATCTCTTGCACACAGATATACAAGCAGATACAATACCAAATGCATTACCTTATTTTCTTCAAAGTGACACCACACATGCTATCATCCTTAAATAAATATGAGCTCAGGACATGTTTACAACAAATGTCAATAGAGCACAATATGAAAAAAATGAACTTAAAAAGAGTCGTCTGTATTAATAAAAATTAACATACAAATCAGACACCAAAAGGATTCTGGGTACCGCGTACACTAAATAATTATTATTCGTCACTCACTCAATTTGCATCCACAATAGATGGATAGGTTTCCATACGGTTGCACATGCATTTCCCGTAGCACATCACTCCGTTTCGTTCAAAATAGGAACAATTAGTGGTTTCATCTGTGCGAGATACACTATTGCCCACCTACAGAGGAATATAGAAAAACAAGGTGACCAAGAGATACAGAGGAACAAAAGTTGCAAAAAGTACAAAACTAATCATCAGAATAGCAACAAGTCCAATGAAACAAATCCCAAAACAAAACCATATTCCTAACCAAAACCCATATAAAAACCAAAAAAGAAAAAGCACTACAAGCTATTCTCCCTGTATTCAAAATTGCGATAATTATTCTTCCAATCCCAGGAGAATTATGTATTCCCCAATACATCCTAAATAGTTGACAAGCTGCATGATAGATCATGCCTAATTTATTCAACATTTAGCAGCAACTTGAGGAATATAAAGTTGAACTAAGCTCCTTGGCGAAAGAGAAAAAGAAAGCAACAAGATTCAAGATTACTGATGTTGTAACTCTAGAACAAAAAAGCTACGACAGAGAACAAATTTCATGGCCACAGCAACCTCAGTTGTTCTACGATAATAGTGGATGATCCAGTCACAAATTACACAATTAAAAGTTCATGAAGCGCAATGGTTATTTAGAAAGCAAGTGCACCATTTGACAAGATTCATTGACGCTAATGTGTGAGCAATATGCATAACATTATTATGACTGCAGCCGGTGAAAAACATGAACACAGCTAAAAATCAATACAGGAACAATAAAAATACAACATATATCCATTTGCTGCTTAAATAGGGAGTTTCACTTACATCATCCAACAACACACAGTTGCAGTAATGATCAGTGTCAGGTGTAACCTGCATCACAAGATAGAAATAGACCCCATCAGCAAAAGCTTATGGTACCAAACAGTCACAAAGGCATTATTTGTTAAGATGCAGAAATTACACTTTGAGCCCCATTTTTGAGTAGAATGCATTTTGCAACAGTAGATTGATGGAGAATGTATGGTTAAAAAAGAAGGAAAAGTTTTTGGGTTACGTGTAATATTATTTTATTGAAGAATGTGCGGTTGAAAAAAGGAGAAAGAAAGATGTATTTTAAAAAAAAAGGAATCAAATAAGGTCTTAGTTGATTTTTCAAATCAAATATGTCAATCAAATTATTATTAACTAGAGTCAGTAGATTTTTTCCATAAGTAAATGGACCTCAAAAAATATTTTGATCCCAACCAATTATTAAATTTTACCTCATATAGGAATTAAAAAAATACCTAAGAATAAAAGAAGTCATATAAAATATACTTATAATCATTCATATAATAATGGTAACAGCACAAATTGCTACATTATCCAATCTAGATTTATCATCATAATGCTTATGAAGTGACCGACTTTTTCAGTTCAGTATTTGACTAACTACAAATGAAAGCATAAACTTCAAAACAAACGTATACATACAGATTTGCAGAGGGTCCCCTGTTGCAGCATATTCTAGTGCACAGGGATGCAATAATCCCGACCACGACGAAAATCAGGGTTGTCACCAAAAATCCCATTTCCAATCCGATCTCCCTGACGAACGACTTATTATAGTTTCTCTGCAAGAGCTATTTTTGAGAGGACAAATCAATAAACAAATCCATAACTCGAATTTCAAATTTTTAAACAACAATCTGAATTTTAAAATATTGCCAACAAACGCTTTAAATTCAAACGGTTTAATGTAATCAGGACATTGGTACGAAAACCTAACATATTCGATGAAAATTACAATACCCTAAAATCCGGCGACCGGAGGATGCTTATAGGGGGCACTTGAAGCTGCTAGATCCGGCGTCTCTTTGATTAGATTTGGCGTTTTTCGAAGTATAGAAGTACTGAAATTGAAAATTCGATCTTTACCGTATGATTGGGAAGAGAAACTTTACGGGCCAATGTTGATTTGATGGTAGAAGACATGGGCTTCTCAAGCGGAGAAGATTTTGCTTGATTCAATAGGGCAACTTTAAGACCAATTTTCTTGAGCTCAAATCTCAAATTTAGCCCTTGTTTAGTGGCCATTTTTGGGAAAACATTATTTTAAATAATGATTTTTTGAAGAATATGTTAAAAAGCAGAATTTTTTTTAGGTTTACGTGTAAAATATTTTATTGTAAAACATGTGATAGAAAATGAGTATGTAGAAAAAAGAAATTTGAAACTTTTTCCTATTCTCAAAATACTATTTATTATATATTGCAATTGTTTATGCTACATTTTGTAACACATTGTATCACAATATCTATATAGAGGTGTCAAGACGGACGAGCCGGCCGATCCGTGAAAATCGGCTTGGATCGACTTGGGATAGCGGCCGACCCGTGACCCGAGCGGGCGGTTCACGGGTCAAGGAGGTGTGACCCGCGGACTTTACGAGTTGCGCCTTCACGGGCCGCGGTTAACCCGCTGGCCAATGAAAAAAAATTTAAAAATTTGAAAAAAAGAGGGGGGAGAGAGTAAGATAAAATTATTGATGATGTTACTGAAAATTTCAAAAATCTTACTAATCATGAAGATTGATTGAAAAACAAATATATAATTTGAATTCTATGTAAACATATCTTGGTATAAATATNTTGAATTTTATGTAAATATTCCTTGATATAAATATGAATTTATCATTTTATTTAATTCTTAGATTACATTTAACAAAAAAAATATTTTTTTTGCTATAAATATGAAATTTTTTATATTTTTATAATTTTATTTATACAATAATACGGGCCAAATCGGAACAAACCGCGACCCGTGACCCGCATGGGCTGACCCGGATGAGTCAGCGAGCGGGCCTGTGTTGTAGTCCAAAATTTGTGGGTCGACCCGGAACCGGCCCGGAACCCGTAGCGGGTGGGCCGTTACCGGGCTCATATGTTGGCTAGCTGACCCGACCCGGACCACCCAGATTGACACCTCTATATTTATATCAAGTACACACTTTTCGATGCATGTTTTCACCACTGTCGTCATCACCACATCTATCATTGGTAACAAATTGTGTTAAACTGCTTTCACATTTTATAACATACTAAGTACAAGCAACGTGCAATGCACGT